TGCTCTCCTATTGGCCAACAGAGCTTTATTCATTAACCAATATGAGAAACATATTTATAGAATGACATCTCCCATCAACATACTATAAACTGTAGTTTTAAAATATTTTATTTATTTTTATGAGTGCTTTCATATATACATGATATATATATATGTATATACACACACACACACACACACACACACACACATATATATATATATATATATATAGAGAGAGAGAGAGAGGGAGGGGGAGAGAGGGATTGGTAGATGCACCATGTGCTTGCAGTGCCCTCAGACGCCAGAAGAGGGCATTAGACCCACAGGGACTGGAGTTACAGACACTGGAGTGAGCCACCATGTGTGTCCTGCAAACTGAACCCAAGACCTTTGCAAGAGCAGCAAGTGCTCTTAACAGAACCATTGCTCCAGCCTCAGAAATTAACATCCTAAGGTATGTAATTCATTGGTTTTGGTGTATTCACATGGGTGTGACCATCACCTCCACATAATTTTTGTAATGATCTTGTTCTTAATCTTAAAATAAGGTGTGTTTGTGTGCCCTGGTGCAGTTCTTTGGAGCTGGAGTGTAGGCAGTTGCAAGCAGCCTGACATGGGCTCTGGGAACCAAACTTAGGTTCCCTGCAAGAGCAGTACATGCTCTTAAATGCTGAACCATCTCTCCAGCCCCACCACTACATAACTTCACAGGATTTTTATTATCCCCGAAGACAGCCCTTATACTTTAGCACTGAGACCCGATATCTTAGTTTGGGTTTTATTGCTGTGAAGAGATACCATGACCAAGGCAACTCTTATAGAGGCAAACATTTAACTGGGGTGGCTCGCTTACAGTTTCAGAGGTTCAGCCCATTATCATCACGGTGGGGAGCGTGGTGGAGTGCAGAGATGGCGCTGGAGCTGAGAGTGTTATGTCTTGCAGGCAGCAGGAAGTTGACTGACTGTCACGCTGAGGGAAGCTTGAGCAAAAGAGACCTCGAAGCAGTAACACACTTCCCCCAACGAGGCCACACCTCCTAATAGTGCCACACCCTTTGGGGGCCATTTTATTTCAAACTACAACACTAGGCTTCTGTGAATAACAGCAATAAACAGAGAGGTGCAAGTCTCTCTCTGGTGTGCTTAGGCTCATTTGAGTTCACACCCAGGAATACAGTTGGATAACAGATTACAACTAGTAAACTTTTTCCCATGCTTTGGTCATGGTGTTTTACCACAACGACAGAAAGCAAACTAAGACAGTAGGTTAGTGGGAGAAAATAAGAGAAAAGAAGAAGGAGAAGGAGAAGGAGAAAAACAGGATCTTTACACAGGAAACTGTTATAATGAATCCCATTATTGTTTCCATCTCATCTGTCTATTTAGCGAGTGACCACAGCATTCCTCAGAAAGTCCTCTAAGTATCTATCTCCTGCAGTGCTGCTTTGGAAGTTGTGAATTAGTCAACGGTTTTCTTGAAATTTCTAATTGTCTTCATCAAATTTAAAATGCAATTTTGCTGCATGTGACAATCATGGTTGAAAGTTACGTCAAGGGCTTACTGGTTTACTCCTCATTACTTGCTCAGTCTACTTTCTTATAGAACCCAGGATGGTACCACTTACAATGGGCTGGGTCTTCTCCCATTAATTAGAAAAATGCCCCACAGGCTTGCCTACAGCCCCATCATATGGAGGCATTTTCTCAATTGAGGCTCCCTCATCTCTGGTGCCTCTAGCTTGTGTTAAGTTGACATAAAACTTGCCAGCACAGAGGGCCCCTCCTTGCACATGAAGCTTTGGCGATGCTGGATGGTCAGTGAGCCCCTGGGATGAGCCTGCATCCACCCCATAGTGCTGCAGTGATAGACACATGCAGGCTCTGGCATGGCTACTGCTCACTGTCTTCAGCTAGCTTTAAGTGGGAGGGAGAAGAAAGTGGGTGAGGTCTGAAAAACACAGTTCTTTTCAGGTAAGGAACATGAACCCTGTTAAAGCTGCAGACAGAGGAAACAAGGCAGATGCGGGCAGAGCAGATCTAACTCTTAAAAGAGACTGGTGCAGGGCTGGAGGGATGGCTCAGAGGTTAAGAGCAAGAGCACTGCCTGTTCTCCCAGAGGTCCTGAGTTCAATTCCCAGCAACCATATGGCAGCTCACAGCCATCTGTAATGAGATCTGGTACCCTCTTCTGGGATGCAGTCATACAAGCAGACAGAATACTATGTAAACAATAAATGAATCTTGAGAGAGAGACAGACTGGTGCTGTTAAAGACAGTCAGAAACTTTGTACTGGGACAATAGTAATGATACCACAAGGGCAAGACCCCACACCCAGGGACAGAACTGAAAATCCTCTTGAAAACCATGTATTCGTTCCTGAACAGACTGTCTCAAAGGTCCCAGGGTCAGCCACCCAGGGTCAGGCAACCATTCTGAGCCAGCGGTGTAACGTGGCTGCATCCATCCATATGGTACTGGGTTTGAAGTCATGCAAGCTGAAAGACTTCCAGAAGCTGGTAAAATGTGGACCTGAGTTGAATTCTCGGCATGCAGCCCCTCACTGGGCTGCTCCTAAAGCTGTCAACTGCAGCTTCAGTTATAAAGGATAGCCCAGGACATTAGAAATGCTGAGAGTATGGACATCCCCCAAGCAGCTCTACAGATACATGGTGGAGCAGCCAAGGAGGAGGTCTCCCATTCTACAGGAGGCAGGGTCACATTGACAAGGCTACAGAGCCCAGTGAAACTCAGCAGATGGCACCAGGAGCCTCAGTTGTTGGGTATGGAGTTGTCAGATTCGGTTGCCTGGCCATGCTCTGGTCTGATCCTTCCTTGCTGCCCATATTCCTTTTTGGAAGGGGTAATGTTTACTCTGTACCATTCTATACTGAAAATATATAACTTAAACCTCCCCCCCCCAGGGGTTGGTTAAAAAGACTGCCTTGATACATAGATTAGTGTGGCCCCTGAGCAAGGATGACTCACACATTTGTGAAGTGTTTCATACTTTGCTTCCTTGGTGCGCAGGGATTAACCAGTGTCATCAAACAGACACTGAAGGATAACAATGTCACTCAGTTCAAGAAGAGTGGAGACACTCTGTGGGACATCCAGAAGTACCTAAAAGACCTGTGACTGCCAGGGTTTGGTCTAGAGAAATCTCAAATCTACAATGTGATAACCAATGCACCTTTAGTCTCCAGCCTTGGGTGAGTACATGGGTGAGTCTGCTTCTTCCCTGGGATGTGATATGAGCTCACAGACCAAAGCCTAGGCTTGTTTGAGGCTTACATTATAAATGAACTCTTAAAACAAATAAGGTTATCTACTGCAGTGTGAAGGAAGAAGAGGAAGAATCTTAGTATCTGTAGACCTTGATCACTTGGAATTCTAGACAATAGCAACTTTTGAAGTTGATTTGGCATTATGACATGGTTGTGTGCATACAGGAACCATGGGTAGAGTGTTATGGCTCTTGTGTTCAAAACACATGCTTTCTACCATAAATAAACTAAACCCTGAAAACAAACAAAACCCTCAAGGAGAAAAAGAAAGGAAGGAAGGAAGGAAGGGAAGAAGGGAGGGAGGGAGGGAGGGAGGGAGGGAGGGAGGGAGGGAGGGAGGGAGGGAGGGAGATCATTCCATGCATTGCTGGCTCTAACAGTTTGGGTTAAGAAGCCTGACAATATTCTGTTACATGCTTATGTGTGTCAGTGTTTTATTACTTAAATCTTTTAACACTGATCCATCTAAACTGGGCCAAGGCTACCTTCTTCCCAAGCCTTGTCCATTTAGGATTTGGAATGACTCTCCTTGTATGTGCATTTCTTTGTTTAGATTTGCAAAGTTTTCTGCTATAATTTCTTGAATAGATTTCCGTGCTTTAGCTTTTTTTCCTCAGCTCCTTAGGTCTTTCTCAGCTGCTTAGGTCATGTCCCTCAGTTCCTGGAAGCTCTGGTCATGCTTGTCCTAGTCTTTCTTTCTGTTGCTGTGACAAGCACCACGGCCAAAAGCAACTGGGGAGGAGAGTTTGTTGAGTTTATCTGACTTACACTTTCAGGTCACAGCCTGTCTTTGAGTGGGGGCAGGGTAGGAACCAGAGCAGAAACCAAGCATGGAAGGATGCTGCGTGGCTCATCCTAAAGCTTATGTTCTTTATTAAAGCTGAGATTATGACATCGTCTCCCCTTACCTTTCCTCCCTCTGGCCCCTTCCATGCAACCCCCCACCCCCATTCATGGCCTCTTTTTCTTTATTGTTGGTGGTGGTGGTCTGTGAGTTTGCTAATTGTTTAAGTACAACTTGCTCAGCCTGTAGGCTGTTTTCAGGTTGACCATTTCGTACCGGGTAGCTAATGTGTGTGCTCTTCCCTGGAGAGGCCTGCTTCTCCCTCTCTCGGCATGGGTCAGTTGCTGTGGGTCTTTGGCAGTGCCCTTACACAGGAGCTGTGCTCTCTTGGCTGCCACGGTGCTTTGCTGGTTCCCGTTTCTTTTGTTTCTGCACACATCCACTGGTCCAGATACTTCCTCCTTTTATTTCAGGGTCTTCTCAGTGAGCAACCCAGTCTCGAGGGTTCACTCCCCAGCGCCACTCACAGAAGAGAAAATTAACTACGGCAACAGGGACAAGAGTAACCAGAGTAGGCGGCAGAGACACACTTGAAACACACTCCTACACCTCAGTGACGTAGAGCATGCTATCAAGTTAAAAAGCACTGGAACTGTGGAAGGGAGGGGATGAAGGTAGAAAACACGAAGGACGTTTAACTACATGGAAGAAAGGTCAGGCATGGTTACATAGCCTGAGTCCCAGCACTCGGGAGAGAGGCAGGCCAACCTCTGTAAACTCAAGGTTACCCTGGCCTACATCGAAAGGTCCACGCCAAATTAGGGCTATATGAACATAGAGAGATCCTGTGTCAAAAAAGAAAAAAAAAGGGGGGGGTAAGAGAAGAATGCTGTGAAGAGAAAGGGTTAACAGCGAGAGAACATTACCAATAATGAGAAGATCCATGAGCAAAATTCTCTTAAATGTAAAGGAAATGAAAACCGTGTGCAGGGGCCGTGCTAAACTTCTCTGTATCGTTCCACTTTGTAGTGCACGTGCTGCCAAAGCGAGCCTTTACAGTGCTTCTGGTGACTTCGGACTCACAGGGGGGGACACAGAAAACTCCTAGGACAACCCGTACTCCCACCTACCCCACCCAGTTAACAGCCTGGACAGACAGCCATCAAAGAGAACTCTTAAAAATTGTGATAAGGATACTCAAGTCTAGATCTCCTCAACTGATGGCCTCTGGCAGGGGTGTGGGTGGGGAAGGACTCAGTTTTCTTCGGGGGGCTGGCCATTAGAAGCTGGTCATGCTGCAGAGAATATAATATAGACAACACAAACTGGACTCCCACCCACCCTTCTTCCTCTCCTTTTTTTTTTTTTTTGGAGGGGGAAGCAGACACATACACTCACACAAAAATAAATCTTTTTTTTTTTTTTCTTTTAAAGAAACAAAGGGAAACACCAAGCAAAGTTTTTTTCTTTCTTTCTTTTTTTGTTTTGTTTTTCAAGACAGGGTCTTTCTGTATACAGCCCTGGCTGTCCTGGAACCCTCTCTGTAGCCCAGGCTGGCCTTGAACTCACAGAGATCCACCTGTGCTGAGATTAAAGGTGTGCACCCACTGCCCGGCATCTGTTTTTTTTTTTTTTTTTTTTTTTTTTTTTCCCTTAAGAAGTTCTATATAAAATCATATACGGAACAAAACTGTTCTAGAAAAGCCTGCATGCGTAAGTCTAAGTCTATTGCCCCTCTTTTGCTCAATTCTCAATCTGTAACGTTTATTAATCCATGTGGAAATTTAGAAAGAAACACTCTGGCAAAACTTTGAAATCAAGAGTTCACCGAGAGTCAAGGTTATGTGGGTATTAGTTATCCAACAGCTTTGCAAGAGACAAGAGATCTAAGACATTCTCCACTGAGAGCTACGAAGTCTGCGTTCAGAAACATAGAGCACTCACTAAATTAAAAACAAACAGCCTTTAGTCCCAACACGGGAGGCAGAGGCAGGCAGATCTCTGTGAGTTTGAGGCCAGTCTGATGTATAGAGTGAGTTCCAGGACAGCCAGGGCTACACAGTAAAACCCTGTCTCCAAACAAACACCCTCAAGTCCCTTTGGCCCGCTCAGTTCTCTGAGGTTATCCGCTGCCTTTTGTAGCTCACTCGCCCATCCGATTGCCTGACGACTCTGCCACAGGATAATGAGGCACCCTAAAGTCAAATGTGCTTTCCACTTAGCTATAAAAATTCAACAGCCCACCTCACTTGAGACTGAGGTGTCACCAGAAAGGAACAGGTCTAACTCCTTCCCAGTGTCAATTACCAAAGCCTCTTTCAGCAAAGAGTCGGAGGTTACAAGGAGCTGAGAGCTACAGTGTGTAACCAGGCAGGCAGCATGCCACATGTAGAGCCCACCAGCTGTTGGGCCTTACCTCTCTGTAGAGTTGACCTGGCCGCTGGCACTCATACCCACCCTTCACCCATCCCTCAAACGCAACACCAAGGCCCATGCCTCGCAGGGGTCCCTGGCCAAAGCCCTGCTGTGGGGGCAGGGAGGCACCACATCCTCCTGGGTAAGCAGGCCTTTCTACTGTAGGTCTCTGCTACTGGGTGGGGTCCCTGCCTACACTTCTGAGCCCATGGCTCTTGCGGCTGCTGCCCCACCCCCGCCCGGCCCCTCCAGATTCTTTGGCTCCAGGCAGAGTCCCTGAGCCAAAGTTCTACCTTAGCCCAGGAACTTCCCTACTTCTGAAAATGGAGTGTGACCCTGGTCCCCACATGGAAGCAGAGAACTGACTCCTGTAAATTGTCCTCTGACTTCCATGCATGAATATACACAGGTGCATGTCGGCAGCAAGAGGGAGAAACGTTTTAAAGTTTAGATTCATTTATTTTATGTGTAAGAATGTTTTATCTGTGCCTGGTACCCTCAGAGGTAAGGATGTCATGTCCCCTAGATCTGGAATTACAGTCAGTTATAAACTGCCATGTGAGAGCTAGGAATTTAACCTGGGTCCTTTGCAAGAGCAGCCGGCATTCTTAACTGCTGAGCCATCCCCCATGTTTCAAAATTTAAATGATGATGATGACGGTGATGATGATGATAGAAACTGAGTATGATGGCACAGGCCTTTAATCCCAGCACTTGGGAGGCAGAAGCATGCAGATCACTATGAGTTGGAGGCCAGCCTCGCCTACACAGTGAGTTCCAGGACAACCAGGGCTACAAAGTAAAACCCTCTCAAGGAGAGTGAGGGGGTGTGCAGAAGAGAATCATACTTACCAATGATCTAAAGACTACTCCTTCCAGAACAGTAACATAGCTAAAATAAAACTAACATGGGATGCATGTGTATGGGTATGTGTGTGTCTATCTGTCTGTGTATCTGTCTGATTGCTCTGTAATTATGAGGTGGTGTCTACAGTTTAAAAAAAAAATTAAGATAGCAGTTTTCGGGATGGAGAGATAGCTCAGGAGTTAAGAGCACTGGCTGCTCTTTCAGGGGTCCTGGGTTCAATTCCCAGCAACTACATGGTGGCTCACAACCACCCATAATGGGATCGGATACCCTCTTCTCTACTGCAGGCTTCAATGCAAACAAAGTGCTTGCACATAAAAATAAGCAAATAAATAAATAATTAAGGGGGAAAAGAAGACAGCAGTTCTCACCTGGTGGAGGTACACGCCTTTAATCCCAGCACTTGGGAAGCAGAGGCAGGCAGATGCTGTGAGTTCAAGGCCAGCCTGGTCTATAGAGCAAGTTCCAGGACAGCCAGGATCATAGAGAAACCTTCCTAATACTGTCATCCTTTAGTATAATTCCTCAGGTTGTAGAGACTCCCAACCATAAAATTATTTTTGTTGCTACTTTATAACTGTAATCTTGCTACTGTTATGATTGTAATGGAAACCTGATGTGTGATCCACAGGATGAGAACCACTGCAATAAGGGCAAAGAAAGCCAAAGTCCAGCAAAGACTTTGGATGAGAGAAGCTCGAGTGGGACAAGCACTAACCACGTGCTATTTTATTTACTCATGCCAGTTCTACAAAAGGTAAGAAGCCAGAATATGAGGTCACCCATAAAGTTTCCTTCTAGAGCCAGAGAAGAGCGTGCCACCACAAACTCTTGGTGGGCGCTGAGACACCTAGGGCTCAGAAACAGGGAGGTATGAAGGAGGTGTTTCAAACCAACTGGAAACAGCCCTGCTTGGTAAGCAGAAGCATTAAGTCTTGGACTGAGAGGATCTGCAGTTAAAGGACACGATTTAGGAGCTGGGCCTCGCTCTCTCTAGATCCTCAATTCTTCTTCAGGCACTTTATAAAAGTCACAGCGTTCATACATGGCTTCTACCATTTTGGAACCAAATACAATTATGAAAGCAGAATCAAACTAGGAAAAGAGTTTGTAAGGCTATTTGTAAAATACAGTATTAAATCACATGCAGCCATGGTGGTCAGACCCTGGCATGGTGGTTTCTGGAAAATGAATAGTCCTGAATGGAGTTTTGGCCTGAAAGCAAGGGTACCTTCACTTGTGCATAAAATCACTCTAGCTAAGGAGAGAGATCCATGCTATACACTAATGTAAAACTACCCTTCTTTTTAAGTGCTTTTATCACTGTATATGTGTTTGGGGGTACACATGCGTATGTGTTGGGGTGTGGGGTGGGGTGCAGAGGATTACCTTGGTTGTTTTCCACCCACCTCCTTGAGACAGGGACTTCCACTACAAATGTCTGGCCTGCCTGGGCACTATGCTCCAGGGCTCTTCTTATCCCATACCTCCCCAGGAGCTGAGACGCCACGCCTGTACCCCCACTCAGCTTTTACACAGGTACTGACCATCAAACTCAGGTCCTCAGGTTGAGCAAACACTTTACTTAGCAGATGAGCCAACCCCCCCCCCCCAGTGCCATAAAACTATTTTTCCCTAGATCTGACACAGGTTACTCACAACAACACATCTTGACAAGAGGACACAGCCTCTGAGTTAGGACACGGGATGACTTATGATGCTCTATTCACAAAATAGAACATGTTTACCTCCAAAAGACAGCTTGGGGATATTTCCAGGCACTACCTTATTAACTGAGGCAGGGGAAAAAAAAAAAAAAAAAAATCTCAGAAACTATCATTGTTTAAATACACTCTATTTTTATTTTGTCTTAAAATAGTTTAACCTTTATGCTACAGACTTATTTCAAAAAACAAAATCTTATCTTGCACCAAAAAATATATATATAACACTCTGTTTATTTTTTTTTCTCCAAAGACCATTAAATACTAAATGGAAACAAAAACTAAATAATGGTGTAAAGAACTAAATTTCATTTTACAAACTTGAGTTGCACATTTGGAAAACATTACTTCTACGCAATGATTTGTCATCACTGCATCAAGTCCACGCTCAGTCCCCAGCAACAGCAGATCTGTTAACGCCAAGTGCACTGGTTCCCAGCCGTACAATGGCTGACAATTCATGTTCAAGGTAAGAAGAGCAAACGATTCAGTGACCTTTGCACTCTTTAAAGAACAAAGCAACAACAAAAACATTTCCTAGTTTCCAGTGATTTTTTTTTAAGATCACTACCCTTTGAAATTTGTTAGGGAATAAGTAGTGTTTTAAATAAAAAGAAAAAATACAACAGCATTGAACTAAAATACGTGATTATTTTAAACAAACAGTGCACAATCTGAGGAAGTTTGGTTAGGGTGCAACAGTTTTTATATACACATGGAAGTCACATCACACACATACGGGAGAGCAGGAATTGGGGCTCAGCTCTTTGCCTTTAAAAAAAAGAAAAAAGTCAAAACTAAGACAAAATTGTGCCCTAGGCTTTTGTAAGCCTTGTGACAAAGTACAAAAAAGCAAGCAATGAATCTGTCTTAAGTTACTAATAGTGTTACTCTGCTAACAGCACATGAACAAATGACTAAACTAGCAAACCAGGCAGGCCATGCTTGTAAATGCTGACCAACACATGCCGTGGCTGCTCTCTTACCACTGACAGCATCCAGCTAGTCTTTATCAGTGGTTCTGATAATGCTGCGGTGGCCCCCCCAGCCATAAAATTATTTTCATTGCTACTTCATAACTGTAAGTTTGCTACTGTTGTGAACTCTAATGTAAATATCTGATATACAGATGGTCTTAGGAGACCCCTGTGAAGGGGGCATTTAATCCTCAAAGGGGCTGTGACCTGTGTACAGGTTGAGAACCACTGATCTACAAGAACGGGCAGCTACAAAGAGCAGTAGTTGCCATTTCAAGCTGCCACAGTGGCGAACAGCCAGGTTTCTGCTCCTCTGCTTTTTTCAAATTGGAGGAGAAGGGAATTAACCACACTCGTGACATAAATCTATCTGTGAGCCTACTGGATCCCTCATCAATGACTTGGCAAAGCATAAAGGACTACTTAATGTTTCCAAATGTAGAACTTTAATTAGAAAACAATACTTCAGCTGGGTTTTGGTGGCACACACCTTTAATCCCAGCACTTGGGAGGCAGAGGACAGCCTGGTCTACAGAGCTAGTTCCAGGACAGGCTCCAAAGCTACACAGGGAAACCTTGTCTCGAAAAACAAAAAACAAAAACAAACAAACAACATGAACAAAAAAAAAACTTTAAAGAAAAGTTCAAATGTTATGAGAGTTATATGTCACAGAATTTGATTAACCCTTGTTAGAAACTATACTTCCACTCTCCTGGATGTAGCAATAATGGAGGAGTCCAAACACCCTCTTAATTAATTATTAGATGGGAAAGCCCCATACTTCTTAGAGAGAGCCAACTGCTTCAAGCAACCCTTCACTCGTTGCATATTAATGCCTGAATCTCTGTTTTGATGCATAAGTCAAGTAGTCAGGGACCTGTATCCGGAGTAAGTTTGTACAACCTAAGATAAAGGCAAAAGGCCAGAAAAGAGCTTGGTTACAAGTTCATTCTGTCACCAATCCACAGTGCACCCAAAATTAGGGGATGGCTATTAGGGACAAAAGAAAATGTCAGGAGAAATCACCTGCTGTATAGACTTGAACAAAACATTCTTAACATGAAAATAAGTAATGAAAAAACATTCTTTAAAATGAACTGCCCTTGACACTGGAGGAGACATAAGCTGCGAAAACTTCAAGTCATACACTCCACTATATTCTCCTACCAATAACTTTCTGGGAAACAAAGACCAGAAATTATGTTTCTCCTCTGATGAGTATTATAATTCAAGTAAAAAAAAAAAAAAAAGTGTAACAGTAAAATTCAATAAATTAATGCTAAAGCAAGATGTGAAGGTCCAAAGATAACCAGCAATGAAAGTCCTGTTTCGCTCTGGCCTCTGGGTCTTTGGTTTCTGTCTAGGATTGTGGCCAGGTGAGAGAGATAAATGATGTTCTGAAACTGGAGATTTGTGATTTTTAAAGCCTAATTAGTAGTAGACTAAAGGAAAAAACTGCAAAGTTGGTGAACAGAGGGCAGATCAAATGAACACTACAGAAAAGATCAAAGAACACATGCTCACATATATACCTACCAAAGGGATCTACAGAAAGAAGAAAGGAAGTACCAAGAAGGAGAACAGATGAATAAACTTGTCTTTGTGTAAGAAGAAAGAAAATGCCAGGCAGACTCATGCATGAGCATGCAGGCTGTGTCTCGTTTCTCTCAGGGCCTCCGCAGCATCCACCCTGCACAGTGTTGTATGTAGAGTGGTCCTTGGTCAATGTGTGCCCTGGATGAAAATGGTAGGTCTCATCCTACAGTCGGGAAGAGCCACCAAGGCATAAGGAGGGAGCAAAAGGGCACAGCAACACCGCATGTAACAATGCAAACAAACACCACATGTGAAGTCTTCTGAGCCAGTATTACTTCACTCTCCGCTGTTCACAAGACATAGTGTTCTAATTCTAAGTATTGCTTTTGTAAAGTACTTCACTAACAACTACAACATTACAGGAAAAAGGTAGTAACTAATGCCACAAAATTCCTCTGCTGGCATTTCCTAAATTCCCTGAAGTGTCTATTATCCTTTACTAATCCTTTTAGATACTGTAAGACTTATAGTACTATCCGATGTGCTTTGCATCTGATTTCTTATGGTATATTTTCATTTCTCTCGTGTATATATTTTCAGAAGGCGAAGAAAACTACCCAAACACAGCATGAGGTCCAGTTAAACAGTTGTCACACACCCTCTATGGAGCAACCAGCTGCAAAAGAAGGCACTTACTTTCCTCTCAGATTTGCAAGTGCCTAAAGACTTAGATGCCACACAGCCTCTTAAGTTCTTCCTACTCAAGTAACAGGTTTCCATGTTGGGGGGGAGCTGAGAGACAGAGGTTTCCCCATGACCTCTCAATGCGCTCTTCAGAAACTCTCAAAGAAGTATGAATTATTGCAACAAGGAGACTGACTGAGTCCCCTCAATAGTATCTGGGAATAAAGAGGGGGGCATCTTGAATATTTGTGTCATGGCAAATTGACAAGGAGCTATGTCAGGAAAGATGGCGGAAGACGTAAGCTGAGGAGAAAATGTATTCTATAATACTTCTGTCTTCCACTTTTAAGGAAGGGTTTTCTAAATGCATATGCCCTACCAGGCGCCAGCGAGGCCCTGACTGATATGTGTGCAAATGCCCTAAGACAGGAGTGACAATGAGGCAGATGGAGGGCGGCCACATCTGCATATTAATTTCATTATACAGAAAAATAAATATAAGATTCAAAACCTGAAATCCATTTTGACTAGTAAGTAAAATATTATTCTAAATGGAGGATGACTTTTAAGATAAGTCATCAAGCAAACTGAAGTCGGCTAATAAAATCCACCATTCTCATATTCTTATCAAGGAAAAGAAAAAAATTATTTTCTCTGTGATAAGTTATTTTCCTAAGTGAATATTTTAATAAAAAGAGGGGGGAGGTTACCATGAATGTCAATTCCACAAATGCCACAAACAGCTTCTGAAGCTGAAGCTATGACAATGAACTTCCATGTCACAGAGAGGAGGAAGTGGGAGGGAACAGTGCAGAGAAACAGTGACGTTGCATTACAGTAGGTATTTACGCCTGCTATCCTCATCCAAGGTAAGGTCAACAACTTCTGCGGGGGAGGCCCACGTCTGCTGGGGAGTCACGGCAGTCCATGACTGTGTTTGCCGGGAGCCAACATACTGCGTTGCAGAGCCATGCTTCCAGGAAGAAACACTCTGTATCACACCTCCTCGGGGGTGAACACACCTGCAATTGTGTGAAGAATAAAGCCCAGTTAATCTTATTGTGAGAAAGCTATGAGACAATGTGGCTTCAGTTGTGCACATCAACACTTTACCAATCCCATTATGCAAGTTTATGTTAAAAGACCAAGGGCTCAAGTCAGCTCAGTCACTCTCACTGATTTCTATGATAGAAATGAGCACTCTTAGATGAAACAATAAGAAAAATCTGCTTTTAAAATAAGTTTTATAGCACAAAAACCATGCTAAAAATAGCGAAGACAAGCCATGCACTTGGGAGGAAGAGGCAGAAAGATCTCTGGGAGTTCAAGGCCAGCCTAGGAAGTTCCAGACAGGCTCCAAAAGCTACACAGAGAAATCCTATCTCAAACTCCACTGCCCCCCCCCAAAAAAAAAGTAAAGAGGGGAGGCTGAGGAGGTGCTCAGTGGTTAAGAGCACTGGCTGCTCCTCCAGAGGACCCAAGTTCAATTCCCAGCACCCACACGGCAGCTCAAGACTCTATAACTCTAGTTCCAGGGTTCTAACACCCTCTTAGAGACATATACACAAGCAAAACACCAATGCACATAAAATAAAATTTAAAAATAACTATTTTGTTACATTTCTAAGTTTCATGGGAACTACACCTTGCATAAAATATCTGTATGTCTCTCGCTGTGGTACAGTGACAGGAACAGGGCTGAAGCATGGGCTCACCAAAGGAAAGCTGTTTCAGACACAATACCAGCTTGAATTCCATATTCCAGCCAAATGATAAACCCAGAGCCCTGGAAGGAAGCACTAAGAAAGCCTTGACTCAAATGAGAGGACAGCAGGAGGCTGGAGCTATGACTCCCTATCTGAAATTACTGGTTGTACCCATGTAGCTCATGTGTGGAACCGCAGGTGGCATGCATGGGTTTTGGCAGCCTGACAACCAGAGCTCAGCCATCACCACAGCTATTCCCTGGTTGTCACACACTCGTTCACCATAACATGAGTGTAATATCCATCACGTTATCACACACATATAATGGTTGAAAAATCAACTGCTTTAAAACCATACACTGCCTAAAAGATTACCTACCTGTTCTTTTAAAGGCTAGCCTGCCGAAAACTAAGAGAAAGAACTATGGGAGAGCAGACCCACTGAAGTCAAGGCACACAGCAGGTGTAGTTTGTTTCTGGTTTTGCTTTTGATTTTGGTTGGTTGACTGTTGGGTTTGGTTTGGTTTGGTTTTGAGACAAAGATTTGTTATACATCCCAGACTAGCCTTAAGGTGACTAGGTATCACAAGCTGGCCTTGAACCCACACTAATCGACCCACCTCATTGCCCTGAGTGCTAAAATTACAGGTGTAGGCCATCATACCTGGCTCAGAACACAGATTTCCTATGTATATCAGAGACAGAAAATCTGTTCAGAAATGGACCAAGGAGCCACTAAGCCAGAGGCTACAATATTTTCAAAGACTAGCTAGTAAAGGTATTAAAATAAGGAACCCATAGCACAATCTCTAACTCCAAGCCTTATAGTGTGTTAAGTAAACACAGACTGAGTAACTACGAAGTAGAATATTTACAGAAATTGTTTTGATGGGATACTTAAGCAGTTTCATATATATTACCTCACCAGACAATTCCAAAAACCCTATGAGATGGACTGGAAGTCATTACCTATGGTCTACAGATCAAAACAGGCTTAAGCAGGTGACAGGATTTACCTGGTCACAGTGCTCTTAAGTGTCAAGTCAAGGAACTTTGAAACAATTCTACTTCGAATTGTTATAGGTAAAATGAACCATCTTAAAGTATGAAGTTCTCTAAAAATTCAAAAGTTCATTTACATAAGCATTCTAATGTAAATAAAGCTAGCTAGAGAATTAATAGGAATTCAGGGACTAAGTAGCCACCAAGGCAGCTAATGCAACTTTTGCAGAATTCTTACACCATCTAACTAAGGGGTATAAAGTCCTGTCGTTATTCTTCCTAAGGAATTGGGGTCAGTGGTTTAAAGGGATCTAATCTAATCCATATTTTACAGAAAAGGAACAAGGATGAAATGTAACGTTAAGTATGGAACTACAGCAAAATCCCATCTCCATTCAGGGTTATTTTCTTCAAACCACAGCCATAATACTACTGTGGACTACCAGGACTGCTGCCTGGTCCCAGGGGTATTTGCTAAATATCAAAACAGATTCTAGAAAAGTATCTGGTGTAGGAACAGGGAGTGAGAGTGAGAGGGTTAGAGCCTGCATTTCCTACTGAAGAGTGAGCAGCCAAAGAGGACGGGAAATGATTACATATCTAACCACGCGGTCACTTCTGTATCGTGACACAAGCCGTTCTAATCGCCATAAGTGAAAGGGTTGGTTAGGACACAGGAACACCTGGCAGACCTACGGATGAGAACAGGCCCTGCCCACCTGGGTTTGTCTAAAATTTTAAACCCGATTGAGGATCTGATGGCCACACCTCTCTGGTGCAGAGCTTTCGTGGCTCTAGAAAGCTGTAGCCAGGTGGTTAGCTCCCAAAGAGAAGGTGCCCTTCTGCCCTTCTGAAGTGTCCAAGGAAAGTGACAGAAATCGGCTTCTAGAAGGCAAGTCTCAGGTGATCACGGCTACATAAAACACAATAAATTGCCCCTTAAATTTCAAGCTCCTAGCCTCCACCATGGGTGGCTCACAAACACCTATAACTCCAGCTTTGAGGGATCTGACACCCCTGGGCACTGATGGCACCTGCATTCATGTGCCCACACCTCCATACACAATTAAAAAATATACTTTTCTTTCTTTCTTCCTTTCTTTCTTTAGAGTCAAGCTGGACACCTATGAGAATTAGAGAAGGTGCTAACATGGCCTCCAAGGTCATCAGCGACTAGGATTTGCTGGAAGTCAGGATCAAAGTCAGTGGGAGAATGGCCTGGGGAAGTTGTTAGTATTCAGACATCTGTACTGGCCTGTCTTTGGGATCCTGACAGGATTTGCCCTCAGCTGCAGCCACTAAGAGCACCACCTGTGTGCATTCACTACTTTCCCTTTTAAAAGGGGCCCTGCCCACCCATCCTTCCCTCTTTCTGTCTCTCTCCCTCTCTGCTCTGTCCCACTGCTCCTGTCCCTGGTGATGGTTATCCCCACTCCCCTTTCCCCTTTTTATGATCCCTTCCCCTAATAACTCCTCTGTCACATGGCATCTTTCTCTCTCTTGACCAGAACTCAAGACCATGATGGAGTGCAGTCACAAGAGAATGCCTGTCTGTGCTTTGATCTGTGTGCTGGCTACTTAAAAATGAACACTTTGCAAAAGTTAAGGTACAAATTATGACTTGTTTTGTGTTATGAACAGTAAAGCATTCTTTTTTTCTTTCATGGTTTAATTACTTCAAGCAATTAAATCGAATAAGAGCCAGGAAATGAATGAAAACACAGTGAGGCTTTTTTCTTCCTTACAGTGAAAACAAGGCCCAATACATGTTTGTTTTGTTTTTTTAAATACAGAAAAACAACTTGGGGGTGGCAGGGATTAACGTATGTGTTCATGTGGATCCCTGTACAAGTGTGTGTGTGGTACATGCACCCGCTTTGTGTGTACACACCCACAAGAGGAGGCAAAGCCAACTTCAGCAGTCTCCCTTGATTGCATCTCCCTCTCCCAACCCCCTCCCTGCCCCCGCCCCCACCCCCGCCCCACCCCTGCCCCCAGACTGAAGATGAGGCTCATCAATCCAGCTGGATCAAGGGGCCGACAGCCAGCACTGGGTTACCAACACAGCTGCCCTAAGTGCTACAGATCAGAAATCAGGGTCCACCTCCCAGTCCAAGAGCTTCTTCTAAAGTCACAGAGCAGGATGGTGATGGAGAAATGTTGTAAAATAGTGTACACGAGAGAAATAATTTATAATCTATGACAGGGGTGGAATTTCCCTGGAAACAATGGTTTCCACACAGAGTTGTTCTTGAGGTTCAAAATTTTGAGGCATTAAAATAAAAACGAAACAATTTTCATGCATTAAAGCATTTCCTATATTATGAAAGGCACGGGGTAGGGAACATACTTGGCTGAATTTTAATTGGTCCAGCCCAAATCTGGAGCCAATACAGGCTACATACTATCTGCATAGGACCTGCAATGAATCAAAAAACCCAGAGACACATTTTGAAGGAGTTTTTGTTTCTGTTTTGACAAGGTCTCACTATGTAGCCCAGGCTAACTTCCAGCCTGCTATTCATCTCTTCAGCTTTCAGGTACTGCTTAGTATGGGAATATAGCACTATGCCTAACTTATTCTTAATTTAAAAAATTTTTTTAAAATATCTAGATCTCATTCTCCAAATTTCTAAAAAAAAGTATAAGCAATAAAATCTGATAGGATTTCTTATTCATCATATACTGAAACTTCACAGAGGCAAATCTTTCACATGGTTTACTCACTATTCTAAGAGAACAATATTAAAGACTCATCATTTGTGCCCTCACGCACCCTGAAAGTGGCCACTAAAGCATCTAGCTATGTTTCCTAAGTGAAAACAAAATGCACCCTTGTGATTTTAGGGAGATGCTGTTTTCCTTCCCTGTTTTTAGCATTGAGTTAACAACTGGGTTCATGAAATAGTCTGAAATGCAAATATCCTTCTGCAATTCCCTTGCTGAGTATTCAAACAACATTAATATGTAAAATGTTGGGAGTCTTATTCACTAACATCTCAGAAGAGGTTATTGGAGGACCATCAACACAGTTCTACACCCACAGAGCACTACAGACTCTATGTAGAAGAGGGGAAAAGACCAAGACAAAGGAAAACATTGGCATGAGGGTCACAGTTTCTACCAAGGCAAGAAATAGGGACCCAGCAAGTCTGCATGTTACTAGCACGGAGCAGACTGTGGAACTGAACTGTCCCCAAAGGAACATCCAGAAATGATAGCAAATTCAAATAATGCCAGGAGCTCAGCACAACAGTACAAGATCACCATAAACAGTGCATTCAACAATTAGTTCAGAGAACATACTTTCTGCTAGACAAAATGCATAGGACAATCTAGTGTGGTTTCCATACCAGCCTGGTCTACATAGCAAGTTCCAGGCCAGCCAAGTTAAGCTACATAGTAAGAACCTGTCTCAAAAATGCATAATAAACAAAATCAATCCATGATAAAAGAATGCAAGAGAGATAAGAACAAGCTACCTCTCTAAGAAAGCACATCATTAGGCCCAAAAGTCAAACAGGGAGAATGGCACCTAACACAAGCCAGAGCAACAGGCCCAACTAACCTATGACTGCATAGAACAACAAAGGCAGAGACGGAGGTGGGGAGGGGGGGGAGGCAAGAAAACTAAATCCAAACTAACTACACACGCAAATAAAATGAGAACAAAAATATGTGCGTCAAAACCTAAACCTTTTTTCCAAGTAATAATCTTACCAGAAGTCTATCAATACTTCATAATTGCAACCCAAGAACTGTAAATAATTTCTGGATGAGATAGAGGCAGTCAAAAGAGCAAGTCTGGCCACCAGGAAAGCCTCCTCTGTGGGCTTCTCGGGGTTTTATTTAATCCAATGTGTGAGTGACGTTCACCTGGCTATAAAACAGGTTTAGAAAGACAAAGCAGTCATGCATGACTACTCACTTCAGTCCTGGGTTCAAAGGCCAGTATAAAAGATAACCTCAAAATCAAAAAAGATTTCCTTTAAAACCTCCAACAGACTCTACAAACTCCATATTCTACTGTACAGCATTTACCACTAAAGTTTCAAAGTGGTTTCTCACCTATAAAATATGTTTTTCCCCAAATTCAAGCCAATGGATCAGAATAAAGTGCAGCTTTATGCTTAGGGGCCTATAAGAAAAGTAATGACATTCAAAATGGAATCTGTTACATGACTTGGTTCAAGAAATAGGTACAGAACAAAATGACAAGCTAGACTAGTGGTTCTCAATCTGTGAGTTGTGACCCCATTGGGGTCAAACAACCTTTTCATGGGGGTTGCCTATGAAAGGCAACCAACCGCATATCAGGTATTTACATTATGATTCATAAAAGTAGCAAAATTACAGTTATGAAATAGCAACAAAAATAAATGCATGGTTGGGAGTCACCAAAACATGTGCAACTGTATTAAAGGGCCTCAGGATTAGGAAGTTTGAGAACCACTGCTCCAGATTAAATACTGAAGTTAGGAAGGGTATACCGGAGATGGTATCTATATGCATATGGGTTAGGGCTAAGGAGGCTCTTTTTAATGATAAAACTAGCCCCAGACACCATAATACTGGGAGAAGAAAGAGGGAGCTGGGGGTAGAGTGATAGCTCAGCAATTAAAAGCAGTTGTTGCTCTTGCAGAGGATCTAGGTTCAATTCCCAGCCTCTACCTGGTGTTTACAACTACCCATAACTCCAGTTCTAGGGGATCTGTTGACTTCTTCAGACCTCTGCAGGCACCAAGTATGAATGTGCTACACATACATACATGCAGTCAGAACACTCACACATACAACAGAATGGCTACATGTTAAAGAAATGTAAAAGGAAGCTAAAAAGTTCATGATGAAAGGAAGTTGAGCAAAGGAGCTAAAAAGAAGAGAATCTACCATTTCTAGGCATAAGAAAACAATAAAGGAGATGTGACAGGAATATAGGAAACTACATCAAGGGTGTGTCTTAGAAAAACAAAAGACATTTTAATTATGTCAATCTGCCAATAAGGTATCACAGTAGAAAAGCTTAAAAGCCAAAACAAAAGGAAAAAGTCAGAAAAAAACCTACCACAGGACTTAAAGGGACAATGTCTTCTAAGAAACAATGTAAGGAAAAAACCAATGGCAAAAACATGTTAAACCAGGGGAAGAAAAATCAGTACTTCTTTCTTTCTTTCTCGTCTGATAAGAGAGTCAGATTCAAAAGAAAAAGTTTTAAAAAGGTAAGAGAATTTTGAGGAAAAGGTTTTTTTATTAAGTCAGGAAAAGAAAAAATGATAAAGATCAGAGTGGAAAATTCATCTCCCACAAACAGGGAAAGCAACCATAAAACAGAAATCAGGAAAGGACGCTACCAGCATACATCTGGCAGGACTGGCTGGTGACACCCAAGACAAAACTAACTTCCATGAGGCAGAGTAAATTCATGGTTTAGCTGGGAAAACTCCCTCAGGAAGTGTGACAAAACTGTATTAGCTACCTCAGTTCACACACACATAGTATGTCACGGCAATCTACGCTCCTAAGTCCATTCTTTATATAAGCTATCCATGAAATACTGGTACATGCTTTATTTGTGTACTAACATAAGAACAATATGACAACAGAGAGCAGGGTAAAGAAGGTAATTGTGTTATATGATTTTTTATTAAAACACACAAACACACACACACACACAACCCTTGTTGGGGAGAAAAGCCAGTTTTCATAGATGGAATATACAGATCTTAATGTAAATTCTTAGTTTTTATTAAGACAAGAAAAACACATCCGAGAGGACTACAAACAATTATTTCAAAACTAAAAATAAAATAAATAAAAAGGCAGTGCCTGGGACTGATGATGCCATCAAGCACTCTACATTGCATTATACTTCTAACAGTCATCTAAAACAGAAACCTGGCACACAACTGTAATCCCAGCACTCTGGGAGGCAGAGCGGGTGAACCTCTGTAAGTTTACGGCCAGCCATATCAACCTACTATCTCAAAAGTAAAAAAGAACACTGCAAGACAGACTACACCTTCATGCCAGCCAAGATGAGTTCTACCTTTTCTTTTGTTTTTTAAGATTTTGTTTATTTTATTTTATGTATGAGTGTTCTGTCTGCACGTATATCTCTAAGCCAAAAGAAGGTATCAGAACCCACTAGAGATGGTTGTGAGCCATCATGTGGCTGCTGGGAATCGAACTCAGGACCTCTGAAGAGCCAGTGCTCTGAAGGGCTGAGCCACCTCTCCGGTCCTGATCTACCATCTTCCTATCACTCCTTTGGTTTAAACAGTCACAATTCTACATATCAGAACACCCCAATTACTCGCCTACCTTGCATGCTCCTGAACACCCACAATCTCCACTTCGCTATCTGAAGAGGCAATATTAATTTCTTCATTAAGTGGTGCATTTCCAACAGATGTTTTGTCACTTGCTAGGAATCCTGGATCCAAATGACCTGAGAGAGAAGGAGAGAAAAATAAGCAATAAGGTTTTATTTCTTTAGACAGTAATAACTCACTGACAGATTACTCAACTAGATTTAAGGTAACTCTATTCAAGCTCTATCAATCACAGCAAAACTGTTACCAGTGTCAAGTAAACAGGGGCACAACTCTGTTGCTTTGTGGTTTGGCTTTTTTTGTTTTGTTTTTCTCTTTTTCCATTTTTCATGTGCATGTGCACGTGTGTTGTGCGTGTGTTTATGTATATGTGGTATACACATAATTTTTTTGCACGTGTATAGGTGGATGCATGTGGCATGTTTATGAAGATACAAGGTTGGTATCAGGAATCATCTTCCATCCCTCTTCTATCATATTGACTCAGACAGACTCAACCCAGAGCTTCCTGATATGGCCAGTCTTAAACAGCCAGCTTGTCTGCACTTTCAAACTATAACTATAGGTGGGCTGACATTTGCTTGGGTTTCTGAATTCCATTCCTCACAACTGCATGAAGCACTTTAACCACCGAGCCATCTCCCAAGATGCTCTGCCATTTGAAAACAAACAAACAAGTAAACAAACTGGCTTTTAAAATAACTATAAAGGGCTGGAGGGATAGCTCAGCAGTTAATATTAATAGCATGTGCAGCTCTTCCAGAGGACCCAAGTTCAGTTCCCAGCACCCACAGTAGGCAGCTCACAGCAGCTTATAACTCTAGCTCCAAGGGATCTGACACCCTCCTCTGGGCTCTATGGGCACCCGCATTCATATACACATACCCACACACGTGCACATAATTTAAAAAGCTTTTTAAAAAGTATAACACATGGACATGGCATGTGTCCAAGCAGCACATCAAGACTTTCGAGTAAATGCCTCCTATTCTGTACTTCTATCTCTTAAGAGGAAAACTAAATACTTTGACTAGCAGTCTACCTAAATATACATAAACTATACAACACCATATTTTATGCTTTAGTGCTTTTTGCATTCAACTCTAGTCTACTATTAATGAACTGCATAACCACCTAGATGTCAATGGGGTAGCTCTCTACTGTTAGTCATCATAAAACAAAATTCTAAGACAGCAATCTGCAAAAGCAAACGCAGAATAAAATTAACCATTCGTACTGTGTTTACACCATAATGCTTTCTGAAAGACTTAACACGTTCTCCCTCTCAAGGAATGACGATCTGTCAAAGTCTAATCCCAAAACTCACACAGAAGCAAAGACAAGAGACAGATGGAGCTCTGGGACCTGCATGAGTGAAACATAAGCTGCACAGTGCTCATGACTCTCAACAGACAAGAACCAGTCATGAGTGAACGCATACACCAGTTCCACGCACTGAGACACAAAGGACTTCTTCACAGGCATCTTCACAAACTATTCACTACATGATACAGTGAGGTGCCTTCAATGTCACAATGTGCTTGACTGTCACAGACCTGACAGGAAGGGTAATGGCACAACAGCAAATCAAAATATATGTCTCTAAAAGCAATTCAAATACGAGTAAAATGATTCAGCTATGTGTTCCACTTTAAATACACAATCATAAATGAATTTTAAATTCCTACATGGCCAGTAATAAAGTTCAGTGGTAAAAGCATTTGTCCCACAGCCAAACAACCTGAGTTCAATCCCCAGGCACACAATGGAAGGAGGAAATAGACTCCTGAAAGCTATCCTCTGACCAACCCACATTCTCTCTCTCTCCCTCCCTCCCTCCCTCCCTCCCTCTCTCTCTCTCTCTCCCTCCCTCCCTCTCTCTCTCTCTCACACACACACACACAATTTTTAGTTAAAAAATTGATTCTTAGAAATTAACAGAGTTGCAATCAACACAAATTTTCATTTATGTTTTAAAAGACATCTGCATTTAAATATGTTGTCTTCTAATACAAATTTTTTTCCTTATACTTATCAAAAATGTTTATGAAACCTCATACAAATGAGACCAATGGAAGGGAAATTTTACAGACTTAGACCATCCTTCCTCTTCTGTCACTTGCCCCAATGCGCCAACATCACTGAGAAACCCTGTGTTTTCCCTCCGTCGGCTTTTCACATAACCCTTCTGGAAAAGCACAGGCAGCCTCAAATGTAGTAAACTTCATAGTGTTTGCATCCTCTACCCATGCAAACTCACCTTGGAGAGCTCACCCCAGGAGGAAAAGATTTACATAAGCTCCATGTTACAGTCAGAGAAGGGCACTAGAGTGCTAACAAAACCCTGGGAAAGCATACACGTAACATTTAAAGCACAATATATACTACAATAAAAACGTGTAATCGAGTCTAATGAGATTGTTAATGCTTAGTGTATAATGCTATTTTATCCATTTGGGGAAGTTTAAATTGACTAAGTGTTGGCGAGATGGGTCAGCAGGCAAAGCCACATGTAGACAAGCCTGACTCCCTGAGTTTGACCCCCATGGCCCACATGGTGGGAGGAGAGAACCTACTCTCAAAGCTGTCCTCTGACCTCCACCTGTGCACTATGGCACATGTGTGCCTATATATATATATATGATTTTTGATGACTAGAAACAACTGGTGACTGAGACTATAATGACAGTCTGCATGAGTCTGTAACAGGTTTTGGATTTCATGTGACCCTGGCAATGGCCACCAGTCTTTGAAATCTACATGCACAAATATTCTCTACACAGCACTCAGTTTTGTTAACCCTGGGATGTTGTGGTAAACCCAGATCCTTCTTCTAATATTCCTCGTAGTCACGTGTTTCGCCCATGTGTACCTTGATGCTTTAGTTACCATTATCACTATACACACCGCTCCAGATGCATGGCAGGATCTCACAAAGATTTTACTGTTCATCTGTGTGTCCTATAGCAAGCATATTGCTTGTAACATGATATACATTATACTAGATGGTAGGAATACTACTGGGCACAAGGCAGGCACAGGCACTATTCTCAACACATCTACAACACACTCAGTGGTAGGAAAAAGCAGTCCATTACCCACAGCTCAAAGAACTGCTCCACGAGGGAAGTAGAGAACAGCCTGGAAGCATGAGTAATGGCACACATCCGTAATCCTAGGTCTGGGAGCCAGGCTGGGTTACATATCAAGTAGTGCAAGGAGACAGAGCAGGCACATTCCCCAGACTCAAGTTTGGTCAGGGAAGCGGAGATCCCAGGGAAGACTAGCCGCCAGTGAGCAAGTGAGAAGGGAAGTAAGCATCTGTAGGGTCTAAAAGTTTACTGAGAGCTACAGTAGAAAAGGCGGTGGTGCACAATGCCGGCAGCACTGGCAGAGTTGAAACCGCAGTTGGAGTCTGGACTTGGATCGTGAAAAATGAGAAGCTACTGAAAGGCATACAGGGTGGCATAGTGAGGGTTTGTGTTTTAAAGACTTCCTTCTCAAGTATAGAAATCAACGGACAGCAGGGCCAGAAAGTGAAGGCAACGGGACCAGTCAGACCCTACACTTGCTGGGGAAGGCACAAAGTGGGAAGCGACCATGCGGTGCGGGATCAGGTAAATGAAAGAATGCAGGAAGGAGGGATGATGTTTGCTGATGATTTAGGAAATGGGAAGGAGTCAATAAAGGCTGAGGAGGGCTGCATACATAATTTTCAGGTCTACAACTACTTCAAAACCTTTTTTGACTCAAAGATACAGAGCAAACAGACTGGATAAATCCTAGCACCCCCAACAGAGGGGCCACAGAAGCAAAGAGCGCACAGAGCAGAACCCTGATGGCTGCCACGAATTAAGAGATGGCACAAAAAAGTGGGAGCCTAGAGGAAAACCACACCCAGCAAAGACACAGTCAGGTAAGAAGTGAGAGTACAATACGGGTATTATCCATTGGGACCCCTCCTGCTCTTGGCAGTTCTTTCTCAGTTTTTCTTAATAAACCTATGCTCACTCTGCTGAAGGGGAAAAAACATCGTGAAAATACACAGAAAGACCACCTTGGAAAGCAAAGCCCTGGGAATGATGGGACCAAAAAAGCAAACACAGCTGCAGGGAAACAAGAACAGACAATCCGCAAAGGGTGGACCATGGTCAGAGGGAATGAGACAGTGCTGAGCGCGCAGGAGGGATCTAGGGAGGGAGACAAGCGTGTATGTGCTGCTTTTAAAGATGAGGCAGATCGGATTATAGTTGGGGCGGAAAGAAGGGACAGAGCTGTGGCAGGCAGCTGACGTGGCCTTCACAGGGTGAGAACAGAGAGGCTAGAAATGGGTGAGAAGTGCACTGCCAAGGCCAGCCTGGAGTCAAGGTGAAATTGCAGATTAGGGAAATAAAGTGACCCTTAATCCAATTACGTGAGCATCTCCAGCTGGGTTTAGCAGCTAACTAGATTACACCAGGTGAGTAGAGCTGAACACTCAACAGCTGAGGATACCAACCAACGAGGGTTGGAGCCAGATCCAACAGGGGAACAGTAACAAGAGTACAGAAAAGCCCTCAGTGCACAGCCAGAGTGGTGTCTGTGATCCCTGTGATCCCAACCCTAGAAAGGCTGAGTCAGAACGGATGCCACAGCACCGGGACAAAACAAACAAGGGTCCGGGCTGTGAAGGGAGAGCACAGGAGGGATCGGGCGGGCGGAGAGAGTGGCCAGGAGAGCAGCAATCGTCACTCTCGGCTACACACAGCCACTAAGCCCCTGCCCATCCCTGTTCTCCAGCCTCACCCCCACTCCTGTCCCGCTGGGTTCTGGCCAACCAAAGCTCAGCTGTCACTTTTCTACTGCCCTCTGGAGTGTCAGCTCAGGGTAAACTGCTCAGCCCACTCCTAACCTGCCCCAGTTTGGGGACTGACGTTAACAGTCCTTCATCCTCCAATACCAGCTGCCTGTTTCTTCCAGAGAACTTTTCCACTTTCACACAGCAATGTGACATTACACTAGCAGCTTTCTTTCCCTTCAAAAAACATTTTTTGAAGAAACCACAAAACCACATGTTATTTTTAGGATATCCTTTTCTATCACTAGTATTTCAGATTATTCTAACTTTATTCATCAA